CGCCCCATGCAAACCACAGCATCTTGTCTTTTCCTCACAATTGTTTTGTTCAATATTTTCTTAATTAGCACAGATCAGGGATTGGACATGGAACTTCCCGATCTGTGGCCCATCGCTATATGATATGGTGTGTCAATATGGTGAGCCATCTGGAGCAACTTCTAATAGTGGATTGGACAGAATACCTAAAAAGACATATTCTTGGCCAGCAACTGTCTCCTAATCTAAACCATAGAGTTAGTGGAAGTGAACAACTGGGGCTGGAAGTGATTGTGATTAACGTACTAAGTCAATTATTCATGTCGCCCCGATGGTTAGTTGACTATTTGACCATGAAAGGCATCGCACTTGATCCCTGAGCTCAATCGCATTCTTTTCCAAAGTCCACATTGATCATTGCATAGCAATCTACACTGGAACCATGGTCTTGCCTTCTCTCTAGCTCAACGGCACTAAGAGCAATTGTAGCACACAACGCCGGCTAAGATCCACTAACTTTCAAACATCGTACTATCAAACTGTTTCTATCTAGGAAATCGCTACTCTCAGCACTTTTTGACTGCTTCTTCTTTGCAATTAACCTAGAATTCCTTTCATGACTTGCTGGAGTGCTGCACTGTCTTTTATGAATATATTCTGTTTAGCCAAACACTGAAATGACTCCCAATTATATTGAACCACATCATTGTGTCTAATTGCACTGCACACAGCTCTAATCCTGTTCTCCCTCTTCATTCATAAAACAGTGCCTTTTTCATGGATCCTTTGGTTTGAGGAAAGGTTGAGGGGGTAGGGTAAGTGAAGAGAAAGTTGGTGTAACCTCAGCTGATTCTTTTCTTCCAGCTGAAATCCACATAATTGGGAACCTATCACGGAGGTGTTGTAAGTCAGGTTACTGGATTAGAAACTGCAGGCCAATTGCACACAAATGATGTGGAGACTTTTAGAAGGTCTGCATTGAAAATATTCAGTGGGTTGGAAATTCCATTTCAAAGTAGGAAACCTGCTGACGTGAACATCCTCAAATTAATGAGGATGGTGAGCTTTACTTCATTCTGAAACTCACAGAACCAAGTTCCTCTGGTGCAACAAAACAAAACTGCTGTTAATGAGCATGCAATGTACAATATCTTCACCTACAAAACACGAACAATCATTATACTTTACAATAAATCTTGCGAAGCATTTTGGGACCTCCTCCTGATGTGAAAGATGCTGTATCAAATGCAAGGGTGCTTATTATAATATGGTATGGCTTAGAGTGTCCTAGTAAACAAACCATTTCTAATGCTTGTTATATTTTTAATTTACTTGGCCCCAAAAATTCTAGGATTGCAAAAAGCTTTTTTGTTTTGCAGGCAGCTCTTTGAAGAAATCATTGATTGTCTTTTTACAACGTTTCTGATTTAAATGTGTCACTCAGTCATTTTAGGAAAATGATCCCATGCTAAAGGTTTCACTAACCCATTCATTCCGTAAACACGAGGCCAAATCAATACATCTACCCAAACGTTGCTTAATTGATGTACGGCTTAATTGGCAGGCAGTGGCGGGGGCTTGGGAAATGTTTCAGGCAGGTGGGGCTTACCACCTGCTGAGATGTCATGGTTTTCTGTTTGGGGGAAAGGAAAGGGTAAGCCCTCTTTACATTCCTGGCTGCTGAGATTCAGGTGTGATCACAGCCTGTGATCATGAGATTGACAGCCCAGCAGGTACGATTGAGCTAGATAGATTTTGTTTGGCAAAATAATGAAAGCCTCATCCCTAGTTGGGGAATACATTGCTGGAGACCCTGCTGAGAGGAAAGCTCAGGAGTTTCTCTTCACCAATTTAATGGGTAACCTCATCTGAGCCAAGGAGCAAACATGCCCAGCCTATTGGGGTCCAGGTCTGGAAGCTGTTTCTTGGTTCAAATTCTGGCTTATGCTGTCAGTACAGATGTGTACAACTAGTAACTGTGTTATTGGGGCTTGAGGAGAGATTAAAAATCCATATTTCTGATGGAAACACATCAGTTGATGTCTGAGAACGTAATAGCCCAAAAAGTCTGCTGATACTGTCTAAGCTTACGTGATTGTCTGCTTGAGTGGAGGCAGCAGAGGCTATTCGTTTCAACAACTCTCCAGTTCAACATGAATTGCCACCTTCAGAGCCGAGGGGGAGAAAGTTGGAGATTTTTAAATATATTAAAAACTATTGGAGGCAGCTGTTTGTGACACTTAAAACTGTAGTTTGGGAGCAAGTAAAGTTTTTTTTAAAAAAGTAATCCACTTTTTTTAAAAAAAACTTTTGACAGGAGCAGTAAGTTATTAGCCATTATACTGGAGGTCTGTTATGATCATTCAAAGTCTGATGTGAAATTCAGGGCACTCACCTGAAAGTAACGCCCTTAATCTCATCTGTGTGCCTAATGTCTTGTGAGTTATGAGTTTGACTATTGCAAACTCCTTGCTTGTCGGCCTCCCCAACTCCTCACTCCGTAGGCTGCAGATTATCCAGAACTCTGCAGCCCATGTCCTCTCCCGCACCAGGCTCCGTGACCCTATCACCCCCGTCCTCGCCTGACTCCACTGGCTTCCCATCACACAGAGGATACAATTCAAGATTTTTTTCCTCACCCTCAAAGCCCTCCATGGTCTTGCGCCCCCCCTACCTCTGCGACCTCCTAACCCCCTACCATCCTGCCCACTCCCTCTGCTCAGCGTCCCCCGCCTCACCCGCCCCATCATTGGCGGGCAGGCTGACAAAAGGGATTGACAGACGAATAGATTTTCTTTCGAGTTTTTTTTAGCTTTCAGAGTTTACAGCATGAATATTTTAGCTTTCTGGTGTTTATGTACTTTTCTGTCTACAGAATCTTTTAAAAACTGAGCTTTTCAATTCATTGAGTTCAAGATGTACTTGCTCACAGCAGCCTGCGAGCAATGAAACATGAACTAACTTCAGAATTTATAGTCTCAAATTCTATTCCATTCTTCATTGTGTCTCAGGAATATCCTGTTGTTGAAAAAAGGTTCAGCCGTTTCTAGTTTTTTTTTGTCAACCGGGTGTCTGACACATCTAGAAACCCTTCACCATGCTTATGAGTATCCCAACCAATCTGAGAATTCCATGTATCTCAGCTAAACATGGAAATCCCAGAGATAGATTGTTGGAATGGAATGGGCACTCGCTCCCTGGAGGGACTCAAGAAACATGACTTGGGGACCCCAGAATGTGCTTTGGTGTACTGCTGGAGGCTAACCAGCAAACACCACATAGCTTGCCATTGAGAGCACTGTCTGGCAAGCTTTCCTGCTGCTTGTCCAGCTAGGACCACCCTACCTGTTAGGGCTTTGGCTTGCAGGGTTACTAGGTGCTGAGTAGGATGTCTCCCTGCCCCCAGTGACTGGTCTGCCTTTCAATTTCCTGCCGATGAGCCAGACTGGCTGTGCTGTCACCAGCAGTGCCCCTGGAGTACTGCGGACCCGCCAGGCTCAGGATCCGGACTACCAAGACCGCAACATTGGGCTGACTCAAATCCAACATTCCATTGCCAAACATGTCACCTTGGAGCCAGTGCAGTTCCAAGGAGACCTTGCTTACCTCCCCGTCCAAGGAGGATAGCAAATCAGATGTACATGGGTTATTAAAAAGAAGCCCTGGTGCTTTGTATTTAATTATTCAGTGCAATAAATTAACGAGATGTAGCTTATTCCCTACAATTGTTTATTAAGTCTTCTGATTTGGCTTTATGTGAAATAGCTATTCAACGACAACAACTTGCACTTATATAGCACCCTCCACAAAGGGTAGCATCTCAGAGCGCTTAACAGTGGCAGAGCCTGACTGTTAAGAGGCCAGGCACTCCACAGAAGTGCCCTCCTGTGCACCTCAATAGGCAAACACAACAGCAAAGAATGGGTGTATCTATCATGCGCCCAGGTGGATAGCCAAACTTCTACTCTTCTAGGACCGACATTCACCTGATTCATGTGCCTGGCTGATGCAACTCCTGGAGATGTAATATCAACTACCTTTAAATGCTGCAGAATCAGGAGAAACTCTGCTCTTGACTTAATATTTTCTACGTGAAATGATGTAACCCCCCCGCCTCTTCAATATCTTCTGAATGTTCTAAATCTTATTCTCTACTTCGCCATCTATTTATAAAACTTGTTTACTTTTTCCAACTGCTGTAGATCTATAGCTAGGCTTCGAAGCATTCGGAGTTAATCGCTTCTTACTCCCTCGTACTGAGCTCAGCAACTTCAGATCATTGACAACTTTTTTTAAATTTTAAAAAAAAGTGTTTGTTACGAAGGTGAATGTCACTAGTTTGCAGGAGGAGTATGAGATGTTGACCCAGGTGACTTCATGTATATTAATCTTCTGCTGACATGAGATTTGCTGACTAAACCTTAAGGAGTTATTATTTCCCTTTTAAACTAGTAAATACTGCGAGCAAGATTTTCAATATATATTTCATTAACTTTAATATTGAATAAGATTATTGGTAAAACCACAGTAAGGTTGTATAACCTCTTCCCCTCCCCCCCTGTGTTTGGCAGTTCAGACTCATTTGAAATGTTACAGAACACTAGGTGTTCATTGACGTGCGAGTTATAATTTACAGCAGTCAAGTATTTATCCTCTAGGGTTTTAAAACAGGTGACTTGTCACAGACTATAGATCATGCGCACCTGAAGGAGTTTGGGCTTCATCTGTTTAGTTTGTTCTGAAAATGTGGTACGCCACGGAAACAAACTGCTCCGCTGTGTTTTGTTGGCTGACAATAGTTGTCATTGAATTTCTGCTCTTGCATTCACGTTCACATTTTCACTTCAAAGCCTCTTTTGAAATAAAACCTTTTGGTATTCTGTTAATGTTGGTGGGAACAAAATCTGGTTTCTAAAAGATTAGTGGTGCTGGGTATGCAAGTGGGTACAATATAACCTTGGTCTACTTCAAACAATGACTGACAGCTTTTCTTTTCTCCCCCCACTCTTTCCATGCAATAGACGACCAAGGCTTTTCTTCCCAAGATGCTGGAGATGAACCATGGACATATTGTGACTGTGGCCAGCTCCCTAGGGTTGTTCAGCACTGCTGGTGTCGAGGTTAGTAGCTCAAATTCTTTGATTCTGAAACTGGTTAGCGGAGTTTGGAGTTTTTAATTTTGTGTAAGAAATACAGCAACATCTTCAAGCAAACACAATTGAAGTGTTTCATTTAAATGCATTGTGCTTGATTCTTGGATTTTGCAATTAACTGTATAATAATACTGTACTACCAAAATGAGCACACAATTGACTTGTCTATTTAGACTGTTTCAGTAGGTAGTGATTAGGAGAAAGAACGAACCCTGTTTTGATACAGATTTTCTGTTACATTTTGTAGTGGATTGGTGCACAGTGATCCACATTTCAGTGCAATCCCAAGTGAATGTGACTGTTTTTGAATGCCACGTTTTGATGAAAACCAAGAATGATGCATCTCTAGTTAGATGCTTTTTCCGTCCCATAACATGCCTACTTTTATTTGGGTCTCCACAAAACTTACAATTGAATTCTGGTTTGACGACTTGTCTTCCTATTCACCTTCAGTTTGGTTTACAAGATTCAAACTGCTAAACAGGATGGATTTGTTTAGACCAATTTTTGTAATGCTTCTTGGGTCTTGCAAACTGTCATTTGTGATCTAACCTTTACTGCCTCCTACCCGATATTAGGCCTCTTTCCAGCTGTTCTCCTTGTTTATGTGTACTCTGTCCTGCAGTCCATTTGTAATGTTACTGCTGCCCTGCTTTCAATTAAATGAGTTCAGAGGTGTGTGTAAAAAGACATGGTACATTTCAGGATATATGGACAGCCATTTTTTTTTGACTCATCGAGTGGATTGAAACTGCGACAGAGACAGAAGCACAGATCACTTGCTTCTTTCTTTGTGCAAGTCAATTCACTCGATGTCTCAATCACTGATTCAATTGGCATGTTGCTGATGCGGTTATAAATCTTTTGAGAAAGCATGAAAAGAGCTGCTCAAGTACGTGTATACCAGCTCCATCTGTGTTTACTGTTGCCACTTCATCAATAACTTTCTATGGAACCACATCAAGCAGCACACTCCTTAAATGGAGTTTCTGCATTTATCAGACAAAGCAAACTTAAATACAAGATTCACGTGGGCTGGTAACATTGTGGGATGCTTCAGGTGTCTGGACAAAGAAACAAGGGTAAAGGATTTGTTTCTCATCTCTTTCACATGTTATCCCTCCCCACCCCCACCACGAGTTAACTAATTTGCATAACTGCTTAGAAATTGTCCACCTTCTGTAGTAGGGCAGAAATAAATGATTGCTGCATTTGAATTCCAGTTCTCTTTGTGTTTTGGTGATTGTAGCTAAAATTTAAAGCTGTCCATTATAATCATCCGAGTCATCTGAGCAGTTTAAACAGTACAAGCTACCTCCTTGGCATTGAATGCTTCCCCTCCATTCCCTAACAGTCCAATAGATTTGCCAAATTCTGTTCTTTGCCCTAAGAAGACAAACTGGCTCATTAAGGCAGCCTGCCTCAAGTCCTTCCCCACCTGATCAATTCTCTCCATGTTCATATTTGACAGTTGCTTCTCCAGAAAGATGCCTTCCCAAAGTAAATTCATAACCACGACTTAAATTGGCGATCAATTTTTAACTTTCAATCCAGTGAGTATTGGCAAGGCTCCAGTGTTTAAATTTCTAGCTGTAAGCACCAGAAACAAGTCCCACTGGACCTCCGAATGGAGCTGGTTGAGAATCTCTTTTCCTCACTCCCTTTTATTTTGCTACAATCGGATATAATTTAGTTTTGACTTAATATGGTCTTCATAATGATTGTGTCCAGGTTAGATCTCTGGTCTTATTGCAAAAAATAATCGTGGGGTTTTGGTTTGTCTTGCAAATTGGAATAGAAAAGTATTTGAAGTATTAATTTGAAGTATGACCATCTATATTGTGTCCAGGTCACACCTTGTGTCTTGAGCAACATTGCTAGCTTGATTTAATAACTGTGCATTTTGCAATTTGGTAGAGATTGCACAGAAGCAAGCCTAGTTGTGAAAGTTGTGAATTTACCCCAGAATCACAAAAAATCATTTAGCTTTTCTTGCATATTTGCAATAATCTTGTGGAGTCCTGTAGCTCAGTGGTTAGAGCACTCGCTTTGCAAGCGAGAGACCTGAGTTCAATTCCAGGCAGAGGGCGAAACCTTGGGCAAGTTTCCTTACTCCACACAGAGCCTAATAATAATCCCTCCAAAACCAAAAACAATAATAAATTGGTCATTTTCAATCTACGACTGTTTGTGGGACATTGCTGTGCGCAATTGGCTGCCGCGTTCGCCCACAAGTATACAGTCAATTCACTTTACAGTATATTCTGTGAAGCGCTTTGGGACGTCCTCCCGACGTGAAAAGCGCTATATCAAATGCAAGGATTATTATTATCTTTACCTTTATTTGTTTTTATCCCGCTTTAGGATTACTGTGCAAGTAAATTTGGGGCAATAGGATTTCACGAATCTTTAAGTCACGAGCTGAAGGCATCGGAGAAAGATGGGATCAAGATGACCCTGGTCTGTCCATACCTAGTGGACACTGGCATGTTTCGCGGCTGTAGAATAAGGTGAGATTGACGACAAACAGCACTTTGGCTTTGAGTCATAGAATAATCCAATTCAGCGATGAAAAGCATGCTTCTTCACAAGTTATTACTTTTTTTTTACAATTTGACAGGGAGTTGGCTTTGTTTATATAAAAAAAAAAGCTTGGCAACTTTCTATAGATCACTTTGCATGTGCATCCTGCCTTGATGAAGCTGTCTAGAGCTCAGTACAGGGTACATTCTTTTTTCCACAGGGGCCTCGCTAGCTATAAGCAGACTAGGCAGCTGCCTAGGGCAACAGATTTCTGGGAGGAGTGATTTTTCTTTTGACGCTTGATCGGCAAAATTAGACGAGAACGCATGTTCATAGAAGCCCTCGTATGCTTCAGAGTATTTTGATATTAACTTGATGCAACTTGTATTTATCTTTGCATCAATAGAAATGATTGTAATGTGCATGTTGTAATCTTTTTTTGTTAAATGCATCTTTCTTAAGTTAAAGCTATTGAACTTTGGGGTGTGAAGCTTGAGATATTTGACCACAAGTGCCAAATTTAGAAAAAATTCCATTTTAAAACGAGAAAAAATGTTGCTGTATTGATGAGGCAGGCCTGTGTTAGCTGGACTACAGGAGTGGACAGAGTGGGAAATGAGCAGGGCAGAGAGGTAGAGAAGTGCTACAAAAGGATTTGTATGGTGATGAAGTTGATCCATTCAGAGATGAGGAACCACCTCTCCTCCTGGCGAGGAGTGAGGTGATGGGCTAAAAAATTTAGTGCAACTGAGGATATGGGCGAAAGTTTTGGATCAGCTGAACTTTGTGGGTGGTGGAACTGGGGAGACCAGTGAGGAGTACATCTGAGACGTTGAGGAGGGAGGTGACAAAAGCGGGGATGAGGGTTTCACCAGCATTTGGTGTGAGATATTATAGGGTCAGAGGCAGGAAATGTGGCAGAAAGCAGTCTTGGTCAGGAACTGAATGTGGGGTAGGAAGAATGGTCACTACACTTTACAGTAAATCAAGTGCTTGAGAAGTTATCCTGATGTCAAAGGCAAGGATTATTATTCAAACAGTTTAAAAACTAGGTGCAGATATGTTGAAATGTAATGGAAAGTCATGGATTACATTAATTATAAATAATAATAATCCTTGTATTTGATATAGAGCTTTTCACGTCTTCTAGATGGCTCAATGTGCTTCACGGAATATACTGTAAAGTGAATTGACTATATTTGTGGGTGATATGCAGCAGCCAATTGCGCACAGTAGTGTCCCACAAACAGTCATGGGTTGAAGTGACCATTTTTTTTTCTTGAGGGATTATTATCAGGTGTGTGGACTAAGGAAACTTGCCCATGGTTTTGCTCTGCCGGGAATCAAACCCAGGTCTCTCGCTTGCGAGGTGAATTCTCTAACTATTGAACTACGTAGGAATTAGGAGCAGGAGTGGAGTCCTGTAGCTCAGTGGTTAGAGCACTCGCTTTGCAAGCAAGAGACCTGAGTTCAATTCCAGGCAGGGCAAAACCTTGGGCAAGTTTCCTTACTCCACACAGAGCCTAATAATAATCCCTCCAAAACCAAACACAATAATAAATCGGTCATTTTCAATCTACGACTGTTTGTGGGACATTGCTGTGCGCAATTGGCTGCCGCGTTCACCCACAAATATACAGTCAATTCACTTTACAGTGTGTTCTGTGAAGCGCTTTGGGACGTCCTCCCGCCGTGAAAAGCGCTATATCAAATGCAAGGATTATTATTATTATTATTATTTGGCCCCTTGAGCCTGCCCCGCCATTCAATAAGATCATGGCTGATCTTCTAACCTAACTCCATCTGCCTGCCTTATCCCCATTTCCTTTAATCCCTCTATCCTTTAAAAGTCTATCAATCTCAGTCTTGAATATGTTAAAGGACTGAGCATCTACAGCCTTCTTGGTTAGAGAATTCCATAAATTCACTACCCTCTGAGTGAAGAAGTGTTTCCTCAACTCGGTTTGAAAAGGCTGACCCTTAATCTTAAGACTGTGACCCCTAGTTATAGATTCTCCTACCAGGGGAAACCGTTTCACACTGCCTACTCTGTCAAACCCCATAAAAATCTTACGTTTCTATAAGATCACCCCTAATTCTTCTATATTCTAGAAAATATAGGCCTAGTTTACTATCCTCATAGGTCAAACCCCTCATCCCAGGAACTAACCTTGTGAATCTACGCTGCACCCCTACAAGACTCCATAATATCCTTAAGTAAATAAGGGTGGTTCAGTTAATTCACACTGTATAAATAATGCTTCCTGATCTGTGTGAAGTGCTTATCCTCAGATTGTGGCTTGGAACTTGACTGGGTGGTGGGGGAGAGTTTTGGAATGTTTTAATGAGCCAAAGTCCCACCTTGTGATTTGACAAGTGCTCCAATTGACGTATTTCCAGTGCCAGACATTAATTTAGACAAATCTAAGCCTTTGGCATTCTGGAATAAAGGCGCAGTTGGAAACTGTCAAATGTTCCATGATGTTTCGAGAGTCTTAGTAAATATGTGCATCACTTGTGATTGAAAGGCATTTCTGTGTTCATGTAACTCTGAAACTACAACTTCAATGCTGCACCTGCAGAAATTCAAGGTGTGAAACAATGATTTATTTGTTATGTCAAACCACAAAAATGTAGATAAGAAACCACTGGGTTATTTATAACTCAGAGTCCTGGGATGACTGCACTGCAGGTGTACCTGCGGTGTTTGAGTGCTTGTATGCAACGGGATATATTTTGGAGGTTGTGGAGTGGTGCATAAGTGGGGGCTGCGACTCTCTTGATGGTCTTCTTGTCTTTGCTCCAATACCAACTTACATTTATACAACACCTTCCACATTGGGAGAATATCTGAAAGTACATTACAAAAACTGAAGGAGAGCCTGAGCTGGTGGTGCAGTGGCGGGGGGAGGGGCCGGCTGTCAGCATAGTCAAAGAAGTAGGTCATCATTTGAAAGTCGATCAGTCAGTGAAGTGGGGAAAGTGGCCAGGTAGGACAGTCACAGGAGATGCATCTGAGGTAGAGATGAGGATCTTAGTTGAACCACAAGGAGCCAGCGGAGCTGCCCGAGGACGGATGTGATGAGCTTGTGGAGCCTGGTACAGGAGAGGATGCAGACTACAGAGTTCTGCATTGTCTGTAGCTTGTGAAAGGCCAGTGAACAGGGCGATGGAAAAATTGTCTGGAAGTGACAAAGAGTTTTAGCTGGGTTGGGGGTGAGGTAGTGCTAGAACAAGCAGAAAGGTAGAGTTGGATGTCATCTGGATATATATGGACTGAGGTGCATCATGCACACTACATATGTACTGTTAGTGCCTCCACATTCCCTCTGTTGGACATCTGCATGGAGCCAACTTTATAGGAACATAATGCAGCCAAGGCAGGGAAACCATGTCCTGTTGTCTGGAGTTTTCAGATTGCACTGAACCTGGCCAAGTCAGGCTATCCTGTGTAACTGCAGAGGGAGTTGTGTCCTACATACATGCATCTGACAAGCCAATGTGCTTATTGCAGGGTGTGGTAGTAAAGTGCATGGACACTGTAGCCAAATTTAGCTTACTACTGTGCTGCTTTCAGTCATTATAAGATTATGTAAACCTAGACTAGCCAGACTGTTTTTAAGAAATACTTAATAGACTTATGTACCAAGTCCTGTAATGGAGTCCTGTAGCTCAGTGGTTAGAGCATGTCCCTCACAAGCGAGAGACCTGGGTTTGATTCCCGGCAGGGTGAAATGTTGGGCAAGTTTCCTTACTTCACCTGCCTCTGTTTACCTAGCAGTAAGTAGGAACCTGGTTGTTAGTTGATAGGCGGATCTCTTTTTCGGGGGGTAATAATTCCTTCAAACAAACTCCTACAATATAGCCCCCGTTGAAGATGTGTAAAGGCCTTAAAAGGCAAGTGGTTTTGTTTCATGGTGCCTTCGTACTGGGCTTCCAACTACACTAAAGCAGGGGCTGACAAAGTTATGCTCAGAATCAGCTATTATGGAGAATGCATTAACAAATGTATTTTAAAATTGATCTTTTTGCACTAAAACCATTTTTTTGGGGGGGAAACAGGAAAGAATTTGAACCCTTCCTTCCGCCTTTGAAACCAGAGTACTGTGTGAAAGAAGCAATGAGAGCTATCCTTACAGACCAGCCAATGATTTGTACACCTCGAGTAATGTACACTGTAACGCTTATGAAGAGGTAAGTGTGACGAGGAGGAAACAGAAAAACATTCTGCTAAACCTTGATAACTTGCATGTTTGTGTGTCGTTGTGCTTAAAAACCTCGATTTCCGAGTTTCCGAAAAAAGCTAAAAGTAAAATACTGCAGAAAGCAAACACCACAGACCATTAAATTGTGCCTTTTGGTCATATTTTTGATGTCTGGAATAAAGCTGGTTGGCTAGGTTTTATGACATAGTAACAGGAGATACCACCCAGCCCCTCAAGCCTTCTATTAGATCATGGCTAATCTGTACCTCAACTTCATTTACCCACCTTTGTTCCCAACTTAGTACTTGACAGTCAGAGATCACTGAACCCACTGGGGCTTTGGCTTGCAGGGTTGAGGATTACACCTCCCAAGTCTCATTGACGAAGCAGACAGACTATTTACCCAAGAATAATGACTCAAATTTATTTCGGAAGTACTTAGATTTGCAAATTCTTGTGCAAGACAATTCAGTCCAAGGGAGCTATTAATTTTAAAATCAATGTTCTGCTGAGGGCAAATGTAACCTTGCTCATTTGGCAAGCTTTTCAAAAGGGGAAATGACCAACACTTTATGTTCAATTTCAGCATTATGCCATGGGAAGCTGTTGTATGCATGTACCGTTTTTTGGGAGCAGACAAGTGCATGTATCCATTCATTGCTGAAAGAAAACAGGCTTCGAACAACAATGAAACCAAAAATGAAATCTAAAGAAGACTCTTCACTACATCCAGCACTGGGACACCTCAGATACAAGTGGATGCAATATTTTACTTCACAACAAATCCATCCATACAAATCAGAATGAGTTTTTTTGCAGTCTCCAGGCTGCATTGAGTGGTGCTCTCTCAAAATGGCTGTGAAGACTTTTTCCATGATCACTATGGAAGAAACTAATAATGTACTTGTGTAATGAACGAGTTGCAAGAAGTTAAATGTATTATGCCAACTTTTTTGTATAATTTTCTAGTGGTTAGACTGGTTAAATTTAGTGTCAATTAAGCAAAGCAAGATTTGAAATGTTAATATCATACAGCTGTCAGCATTGTCATTCTTGTGTTTGTGGTTAGAGGTATACTGTACATGATGTTCAACTAGAGAAATAGGTAAATGCAGTACTTCACAAATTCCAGTTTTTGAATAGAAAATGCACTGTAATTGACCATTTCTTCATCTAATCAACCCTGAAGAACCTCTGTACCTTTTTATGAACGTGCCACTGTAGCATAATTTTAAACACTTTTCACTTTACTGCAAAATTTTCTGAATGGAGATTGGTTTAATCTATCAGAACAGGTGGAGCACCTGTTGCAGTAGTTTTTAAAGGAGAATCTCATTGGTGTGCCTTTGCATAAGTGAAATATTTTTCTTTTTTTCTGTGTTAGTGGTCCATTTTTAAAAGCCTGAAATTTCTACCTCTTTGTATATCTATTTGTATAACTCTAATGTTTTTAAACGTCAGAAGAAGCTATAAAAGTAATGTATGTGCATATACCAACATCCTAGATCACTTTCTTTATATAAAAGACCGGTATTTGTGGTCCTGAAAAATGAACTGTGTTTTAGTAACCTAACTGTAAAGAAAAGTTTAATTAAAAATGTGATTTTTAGATGCAAACTATGTGCATGATTTTGTGGTGCTGAATTATGGAACTATTCAATCTATTGGTGAGTACTTTAGAAGTAAAACCTTTTCCCTCTTCCTCCCCTCACTTTGACTCTTTGTAGGAAACCTGGCGTGTTCATAAAACATCGTCATAATACTCCAGATAAGCACATTATTCAAAACTAGTTTACCAAATGTTTCCCTGTGATTACCATATTGTTTCACGTGATTTAATTCTAATTGTTTAAAATCTTATTAAGAGAAACCAGACCATTTCAGATGCTCAGATTAACTTTAGAAATTGCCAATTTACATTTAAATGGAGCCTTTAAAGGATGATTATTAACATTGACTTAATTATTATGTAGGCAAATGCAATAGAAAATTAGTGCCAACAGCCTAACAACCCATGATGGGTAGCTGATTAAGTTGAATTTTTGGGGTAAATTTAGACAAGGAGGGAATCTAAGGCAGGATCACAGAGAAATAGCCCACTTTGAAATAGAGACTTGGGTCCTGTAACATCCACTGAAATCACAGAGCAGACTGGATCTAAATTAATGACTCAATTGTAAACGGAATGATCTGGAAATAAACTCTAAACTTGTTTAATATAGGATGCTGTGTAGGCAAGTGCAGCAGCCATCCCTGTGCCAGCAGCATCCCACAATCCACATGAGTAATCAACTTAAATTGATTTTTCTTCTGCAGTGGATTTGAACTGGGGACAAATTGGCCAGGTTAGTACATACATATATTACATTTAAATTCAATTTACAGCAATGTAGAAGGAAATTTCATATCAACCCACCATTCCCGCTTCAAAATGGAAACTTAAATTGACAACAATTCCCCCCTCCCCCCCACCTTGTGAGCCACCTCTGGAACTCCAATGCTCCACTTCAGCCCCTCCATCTGTCTTAAAATCCGTTCAAACGACATACCTCTTAAACTGCACTTACGATCATCTTCTGTTCCTCTGCTCTGAGTCCTCTGATTCCTCTGAGGTGCTCCAAGATATCCTACGTGAAGTATAAATGTAAGTTGTCGGTTCCTGCCTGATGTGTGTTAGAAGCCTGTTGGTTGCGGATCTCATTTTCCCAACACACTTACAAGTGTATTTGAACACAATTGCATAACGTGTAGTTCTGTTCTGCTACTATGTCACTGGCAGACCCTTCATCCAACTAGAAATTACATTTGTACAGCGCCTTTCACGGCGGGAGGATGTCCCGAGGCGCTGGACAGTCAGGAATTTGGACCCAAGCAGGGGGTTGGGATCAGGAGGGGTGGAGGGCAGGGTGAAGCCTGCTGAGAGGAAGGAGCGGATAGGTTCATATGCGTTTAGCAGGGCGCAGAGGTAAGAAGGAGCAAGGCTGTGGAAGGTGAGGATAAGGGGTGAGGCAGTGGCGGAGGTGGAGGAAGGCAGAGCGGGTCATGGCACGAATGTGTGTTTAGAAAGGACAGTTGAGACTCGAATAAGACCCCAAGGTGCCAGACTGGCTCAGTGAGGTGGAGTATACAACCATGAATGGAGATGCTGCCAGTGCCTGAGGTGTGGAGGTGGTCATGGGAGCCAATCAGGAAGGCCTAGGTTGTTGACAATCAGCTGTAGAAAGTTAGCTCTCATCCAGGACTTGGTGCCCGACAAACATTCTGTTAGGTTAGCAGTGGTCATGGAGGCAGAGAGATAAGAGTTGGGTGTCATCCGCATACAAGAGGGAGCATGTACATGTTGGAAGAGGAGAGGACCAAGATTAGAGCCCTGAGGAACATCAGGCGAGACTGTTTGGGGGCTGGAGAAGAAGGTAGGATCTGAACCAGTGAAAGACAGCCATGAGATTGAGGCAGTGGAGGATAGAGTGTCAATGGGCACAAAGCAGAGAGGTCAAGATCACAGATAGACAAAATATCAGTTTGACCAGGGCTATTTCTGTGTCGTGGGGCAGCATGGAAACCCGATTGGAGGGAATGGCAGGAGAGGAAGGAGCGAAGCTTGGAAGCAATGACTCGTTCCAAGACCTAGGAAAGGGAGGTTGCAGATGGGGTGGTAATTGGAGAGCAGGAATGCGTCCAGGGAAGGTTTTTTGATGACAGCTGTTTTTAAGGGGGTGGGAACAGTGCCAGTGGACAAGGGTTGGTTGATGATGTCTGTGAGTAGAGGGGCAAGGAGGTGGAGCTGAGAGGTAAGGAGAAGGCTAGGGATGGGACAGGGTACAGATTATTCAAAGGTCAGGGAAGCTGAGTGCTTCAATGACCGTATGGAATTGACATTTAGCTATTGCTCCAGCAGGCAAACCTAATTCTGAGTGGTTTGACATTTGCTTGCACGAACAAATCAATACCTAAAGATTGTTTCCATGATGGAAATCTGTTGAGGCCTAATGATTTGTTTCTTGTGCACTGTGGAGAAAAATCACTTGCAATAATGTGAAAGTTTTTCAAATTGAAATGTGTGGACTCTTACTATGAAACATTGGGGAGGGAAATTGCCATGTCTCACAACCAATTCAATGGAATAATCACTACAATGATTTAGTTCTGAAACGTCACATTTTTCACCCTTTTGTTACATAAAATATACAGTCAATACACTTTACAGTATATTTCCGTGAAGCGCTTTGAAATATCTTGGAAGATGTGATAAGGTGCTATATCAAATACAAAAATTATTATCGTCACAAAAAAGATTGAAAGAATGATTTCAGGCACTAGGGGGCTGTGTGTGTTTTTGAACATTCTTGTATATAATATGTTAGCAACAAAAGCTTCAGAATGTATATTTAGAGAGGAAAAACGGAATAAATTGTGACCTGACTTATAATTAAGGAACAAAAAGTACTTGTAACATTTTTATTATTACTGCTGAGAAACAATTTAGAAATGGAGCGCTAGTCTATCAAAAAAATGTGTAGGAAATCACTGGCCAATTATTGTTTTTCTCTTGTTCTATTTTACTGCACTTGATGCCTCACATTTGTAATCAAGTGGTCCACGTCTTCTATGGTACAATATATATTTAATATAGAGAGAAAAGAGTGAAATAAAATTCTTGTTCTCCTCGTATTCAGTGCCTCCGTTGTCAGCAAGTGAATTCAGTGAAATAATCCGTCAGACAAAATGACAATAAAACATTGAGATTTGACACTTATGGTGCAGCCGACCTCGTTTAAGATTGACTCAGCATTGCCAGAGAAAAAAAGAAAATTAGAAATAATTTATTGGGGACAGAACACTTTGAAAATAATAGACCGGGGCATTCAGAACAACGTGATCTGAAGGTAAAATTGATATTTTCAGAGCTGAGGCTCCGTCGTTCACTTTGTATTTAAAGAAAGACACGAGACACAATTACACATGAACTGATGTGGTTTTACTGCATTTGGCCAATCATTAATCCAAAGCTAACCAGTCCTTACAAAATCCAACTAAAAGTTTTATACCTTCTGTACAATTCCTGCAGAAGGTTATCCAACATACAATTTTAAATTATCATTGGGTTATTTTTCGACTGTAGATGTGACCTTACTTGCTACAAAGATTAAATTCTGTTTATCCAGGTCAGAATGCAGTTATTAAAAACACTCAGTTGATGCACACGGCGGGTTGTACAACACACAGAATGGGTGTAGATGTGCTTCACAGAACGGAGGAGCAAAGGGTACAAAATGTTACTGCTAGGCAAGACATCTCAACCTTCTGTGATAGTAATGAAAATCAAACACCATAACTGCTTTCCTGGGGTATAATCTTATAACCTCTACTGATCAGAGCTAACATCAGTTCATGTATCAATAAGCATTTTTTTTTCTTGTTTCAGGTTTTGTTTTTGCATACAACTGGAGTAGCAGTCCAAATCTTAATCATATAGAGGCATATAGAATGACAAATGCTTATGTCAGCATAAAAAGATAAGCTGAATGACTATATATGAAGACAACAACTACAACTTTCACAGCACTGCCATTGGTTAACTTTAAATACTCAAGCATCATAAAAAGCAGAAACTAAAGCTACACTAAGGAAAACTGGTTGTTACTGAAACAATGGTGAAGTATTTATAGCCAATGGTGAAGGTTTATCTTGTCACTTTTTTTAAATCACTTTATATGAGCTCAGCAGCATAATCGTAAATCCACTGCCAGCAGGCAACCAACAACAAGTATTTATTTTTCTCTGCAAAGGGAAATTTATACAGTCAACTTCCCAGGTGAATTAACAGTACCATGCATTTTTCCCCACTTGCTTTTTGATAGTGTTGTCTTCACATAGATTCATATAATGGTATCAGTCATTTCCTCGTACACGTACACCCTATCGCGTGTTGACAGGTTTATAAGGATGCAGTGGCGGCCGTGGGTGCTACAGGCTCCTTGACGACAGCCTTTGAATCCTTGCAGTCCTGAGCTGTGGTGCCTGAGTTAGCCTGTTTATTTTCTGCCATCTCTCCCAGAAATGTGGATGGTCTGTGAAAACAAATTTAGCGAAAGCAGCTCAAACCCTCGGTCGCACAATTCTAAAATAGTTTGCAAACGTGTCCACTTGATGTAACATTCCTCACATGTTAAACACAAAGGTACAGGCGACAGAGGGGATGAGATCACACAGAAACATTGTTAGAGAAATGTCATCAAACTATATGTTTAATGCACCTTATCGGCTTTCAGCCATTCTATTCTCACCCTGCTCTATAGAATTCTATCTCAGAATCACACTGACTCGCTTCCTCCCCACTCTCCAAGCCACAACACGAGACTCCTATGAATGCACTTTTGGTCATCTTCCCCACCCACCCCCTTAGCTCCCATCCCAGCTCGGATGCCAATCCAACATTATGAAGCACTTTGAGACATCCTCCTGATGTGAAAGGTGCTCGGAAAATGTAACTTGTTTTGCATTTAAAATAAAATACAAGGCTGCAATCTGAGGTCCAATGTCTTTGCCAAATTAATCTAAATTTATTAACCCCAAATATAAATTTATCCTGAAATATATTATACTTGTAGAAATTCACCCATTCAAAGACATAAAGGCTAAACTAAAATTCTGAGAATAACCATAGAAATCTGCAACACAGGAGGTCATTTCACCCTTTATATTTGTCTTATTGTTTGCTCCTCCAATGAGGAGAAGCTTTACTTTGGTAAAACCCAAATCTCTGCTCTTTCCTCGAGCTCTAATTATATCTCATTAGATATCATTACAGCCTGGGTCACGCCTTTATCACCTCCCACCACAATTACTCAAACAACCTCCTCGCCGGTCTCCCCGGCTCCACTATTCACAAAATTCAACTAATTCCAAACTCCATTGCCCGCATTCTCACCCGCACTAAACTCCATACCTCCATTACCTCAGTCCTTCTCAAACTCCATTGGCTCCCTGTCACACAGCGGATCGATTTTAAGATCCTCACTCTTGTATTTAAATGCCTTCATTTACACCCTGACTCCCCTATCTCTCTCGTCTGCTCTCTCCCTACACTACTACCTGCTGTTCCCACTTGAATGGCTCTGGCCTCCTCCTTGTCCCCACTATCGGCGGGTATGCTTTCAGCCATTATGCATTCGCCTTGCCCCTCTCTCCTCATTTTCAGGTTGTGCTTGAAGACTGTCCACCCCCTCCACCCGGCTCAGCATCGGGCTCCACCACTGTTAAGCTTTCAGAGACGAGCTATATAAAGGGCGCTCTATAAATGCAAGTTATTGTTGTTATCTCAGTGGCAAATGTGCTGTGTGATATGATGCTGAGCGACAAAGATTACGAAGGTTCCTGGGTCAGAAATTCTTTGTGAAACAATTGTTTTAAAATCTATGATTGTGTGGAGTTTTGATAAATATTCTTAAATTCAGTATTAATGTGGAAATTGGTTTTTGACAATCCCCCAAAAGAGCTGTAGAAAATCAAGAGAGTTCAAATACAGTAGGAGGTCAACTTAGTCAAATTGTTAACCTGTAAAATGACATTGAAAGGCGGCAATCTGAGTCCCAAAGGTTCAGCTCCAGCCACAAAAAGTTTAAGAATCCAGCCAAAGCTATCTTTGTAGACTATGGAGCCACCAGCCTCACTGATGGAAATGGCACTTTACTTCAGGCTTTCCTGTCCAAAGTAAGGAAAACCAGCCCAAGTTTGAAAATGCATAATATTAATTGTTGGCTGCAGAAAAATGTAATTGATACATGAATACACACAGTAAATTTATTTTTGTTTTTACCACTGTAGTGTTGGCTTACAGTGAACTTAACCATGTTATCATGAAATTAATACTTAGTTATAGTGAAAAACTGAACTAAGGAGCAAGTGGGCATTTACATTATATAAATGCTAAACAAATACATACAGTAAGAAAGTTCATAATGTTCGTCAGACACTGATTAAAGCTCTGTGCTGGTCTTTTAAAAACAATTTATTCTAATTCATCTACAGGAAGAGAAATCCTCAGGACTGTAACTCTTTTACGTCAAGTATCCAGTAGTTTCAGTGCAGGTTCTCAACCTGAACAAGCAGAACATAGTTTGATTAGAGTCTTGAAATCCAAGTTGGAAATTTAGTAATATTAAACTTAAATTCTTTAAGTAACTGTTTAAGGGAAAGCTAAATAGGTACATGAGGGAGAAAGGAATAGAAGGTTATGCTTGAAGGCTTAGTTGAGGAAGGGCAGGAGGATAAACACTGGCATAGACCAGTTGGGCCGAATGGCCTGTTTCTGTGCTGTATATTCTAATGTAACTGTTCTGCTAGTCAGTCATTAGCACTAATATGACTCTTAATACAGTGTATAGTAAAACTCATAAATGACATTTTGTTAAAAGGGCTTCACTATGAAGGGTTCCATTGAGCTACTAGCGGAAATAAAATACACTTACATTTCAACAGATCCATTTTCTATCTTGATTGCACCTTCCATCGGGTCGAGTCCTTGTTCAGACAGCTGTTTCAAGGCACTTAGAGCTGCCTGTGGGAACCAAAAACAAAGCACTGTAAGCTCCATTGGATCCATCATTTTAAAGTGATTTTTAAATACCTACAAATATCTTCCTATTACATATTTAATTGACACCAGCGTTGTCACTGAAGGATTTACCTGCAATCAGGACACTGCTCCAGGCCTCCTTGCTAGTGTGTAAAAGAACTGGGATATGAATTTATACAGGATCTCCACAAGAGGTGTTTTAACATGGGGTAAGGGAATCCCTGAGTTAAAACTCTTCATTTGGAGTTGTAACCAGATTTTGACAGCCTGCATCAAGAAATTGACTAAATAAAGACAATTTCCTGTTCTTTTTACACCTGCATGCAGCTAACTGACCAGGAAGAGCTAACTGTGGGGCCAGAGACTGTGAGCAGAGCGATGATTATACTTTTATCCTTTTTTAGGAACTCTGGTACTAATTCAGCAATACAAAATCAGTTCTTTTAGAAACTCTTGAAAAATGGCCTCCAAATTGCCAGCTAAGACTAAGCAGACGATCGAGCCTGATGGGTTCTGAAGAAAACCCTGTCTACTTGAGGAAAGCTCAGATTAAAGTGCGGTGATAAGCAAATCTACAGTTAATGAACATAAATCCCAGTCTCATCAAATGTGATGTGTGGGTGAGGAAGCAAGACTAAAGACATAACCACTTAAAGAGCAACTATATCCTGTAACAAGTAGTATGAGAGAAACTCTGCTATTCAATTAGTGGACCAAAGTAGTTTCAATCACCATCTGCCCCTCGAGGATTGTCCTTGCAGGGTGAGCAAAAGCAAAGCAACTTCCAGGGAGAAAGTGAACATTATTATTATTTCCAGGAGCAACATCCTGATTAGCCAGGAATTGTTGGGGGGAAATTCAAGCTAACCCGACAGGTACTTATAGTTGATTTCCCCATTCTAAATGTATGTGGGAAGGTTGGCAATTATACCGACTGACACAATTTCAAAACAAGAGCAGAGATATGTTTTTTTTGGTGAACATTTCCTACTCATTAAAACCGACCCTGATAATCACAAGTGATCTTTCAAGTCATTTACCCTAAAAGTTTAGCTTCAGTCACCTTTCTAGTGAAAGCAAACATTTTTAAAATGAAATTCAAAGTGATCTTTTAGGATGTTAGTGGAGTCGTCTATGTGGACCCATGATCACCCCACCTGAAATTATTACTATGTTTTTATACACTCGAATGCCTTTGATATCCTTTTATTTTAACATACAAATGACAAGTAAAATAAACGTATTCCTTCCCCTTACTGTAGAAAATGTGTTTGCCAGAATACGTACTGCCATACGCAGAGCTTTCTTTGGATATAACAGGCCCATGTGTGAGTATGTTTCTCATTTTGACCTTTTGCCCACATAAACCAAACAGGTTGCAAATAAGCTGTTGGCAGAATTACTGGTTATAGATTTGTGAAAAATACTGTGTCATAAAATAAGTTTCATTTGTAAAAGAGAAGCTACCTGGTGGGAAAGACAAAAATTCAACTAACAGCTCAAAGACAAGTCCTGTCAAGCTGTATCATTGAGGAAACCCAGCCCTTGTTTGTCAAAGGAAAACCAGATGAAAGCAATATAATTTCATGATTTAAAAACTAAACCACATTTAAAAAAACTATTTCTCAATGGAAGTAAAGGTCATTCATCTCTGGCAGAAATGTGTTGTTTTTTAAATCAAAACAGTCTATTGCAATTGACAGTAATGCACTGAATAAAAGTCTTGTGCTAAACACGTTGAACTTAAATGCTTAACTTACAAGTTGTGCTTTTTCAGCAGATGTTGGTTCTCTTCGTGCGTCTTATAAAACAGATTATTTTGAATGGCTTCTTTTGTAGAACAGTGAGGAAATTCATTGATCTTGACCAGATTATAATTGATCTACTTTAGTCCTGTTAACCCTCAAAAACAGAGGGGTTGAAGCAGCTTTTGAAGGGAAACCTTAGTGTAAATGCTGCTTTGCACCAAAAAAACAACTTGGGATGTGACGTATGCCTCATGTATAGACCTCACACTAACTCGGGAGAACTCTGCTCCAACTGGAATCGACTTGGAGTAGAGCTCTTGCAAATCCTAGTGACATACATAAGGTTTCTTGTACAAAATAGACTTTGCCTTCTGAGGTGCTCTGAGACACAATTCCTGCTATTCCTGTTCAAACATTGTTCAACCTCAATGCCTTTTTCTAAACACCAGGAGGTATGTATAGTCTATAATACAATACGATCAACATGCAGAATCAGCTGAAGGGGAACTGTTGTGCTACTTGGACATGGACTGGTTGGGAGGTGTTCGGCTGCTGGGACACACTGTCTAAGCACTGCTCTCTTGTCTAATCCATTCCACTATTGGTGGACAAGCTTTCAGCCATTCTGCCCTGCTCTCTGGAACTCGATCCCAGAATCCCTCTGACTTGCTTCCTCCCTTGTGCCCATGTTCAATATCTGTCTGAAGACTTACTCCTTTGACCATGCTTCGGTCATCTTTCCCTTCCCCACCCTATTTACCTCACATTCTCCAGCTTGGTTGCCCAGCGAGCAATGTGAACAACTACTCACATTTGTATAGCTCCCTTCACACAGAGTAGTGTCTCTGAGTGCTGAGGCGCCTTGGGGCATCCTCCTGACATGAAAAGCGACACTATGTAATTGTAAATTGTATTTGAATTATTGTTTTTACATACACTTCGGTTATAGTTCTGAATGGATATTCTAACCAATCAGAACTACATAAAGCAATGTAACTTTCTCTATTCTCATTGGTCCAATGTAACATACGATGGTAAACACTGGAGAAAGAGACTGGTTTGGTTGATTTCTATCTCAGTCAGAAGATAAAATGCCAACGTTTATCAAATCTGAACACTTACATGAAAATGCATGAATGCATATTCTTCAAATATCACTGAGTTCTGGTTATTTCGGGCATTTCAGCAGGAAATATCTTTCTTTCAATAGATTTTCATTTGAAGCCTGATTTCCCCTTTCGATGCCCTTTACAACAACAAATCTTTTCAACTGAAGGACGCGGGGCAGTAAAAAAAACACCTGAGCAGGATAAACCCGAAGGTAATATCTTTAGTTTAATTGGCAATTTTTTTTTCAATCATCAAAGGTTAAAATATAACAAACCAGAATGCACGTTCTTGAAAGGAAGTTGTCAACTATTAATTTCATTCCAGAGATATCACACAGAAAATCAAACAGCAATTTAAATTCATGGATTACGATGAAAAAATGGAAAGATGGAAATTTTAATATTGAAGAGATAATTTAATTTGATGCATTTTAAAGTCAGAAAATGACTCATCTTGAATCAATGTACTCCACAGTATCGACTAAATCCCCTAATATTTTTGAATTGTCATTGAATGGTCACAAGAAACGTTTGTCTGGCTTCAGACCAGCCAGGCTGCCGATTTCATTATTAGGCAATAGCTCTGCCAGGACACTGCTTTGAATGCAGCATAAATGGTTGAACCAATTCGTGCTCCACTCAAAAGTATCACCACGTAAAATGCTTTACCTAGTCGTCCCTTTAACAACATTGAAAATTAACATTGTGTTACTTGAGCTCTACCCATGTCCTTGGTGACATAATTTAGAGGCCAGTTTTCCAAAGTTCAAGACCAGGTTCTAAACTAAGACTGAATTCAAAAATTCTTAAAATTTCTGCACAATCTTAAATTTTATTATACAGCTCTGAAGGTTAAGTTCCTGAGAAATTCTGGTCCTCTGTTGTTCCCAAGATTTACGGTGCAAAGTTTGCATCCTGTGGATTGATTTTGGCACAGAAATAATGCATCTGTTGCCAACCCCGGCTGGTCTGTTATTACAGCAGAAGTTTTGGCAGTCACAGTCTCATTTCAAAAAAACATCTGCAAATCTAAGATTTTAAGAATTTTTTAAAAATTCCACAACACATTTTGCAAGTTGTACAATAGTAAGTGTTTTGAAAATAGGGTCCACAAAGCCTGTTACAACACACCCACAAACCAAAATCTCTCAATAGATGCAAGAGTTTCAGAAATATGTTAATAAAGAGACTTTGTCTAAATAATATTTTTGCACAAATGAGTTTGATAATCTATCCTCAGTTCATCTTACTTAACCAACTGCCACCTGGTCCTCTCACAGACTTGTCTGCACTCTTTCTCCCTGTAAGATACTTTTCCAAAGCACTGAATGTCTTTTCAATTGGATCCAGATGTCAGGAGCTGAAAGAACAGCTCTCAGAATAGAGGAACTAACATAAATCTTGCAGCTGACAGAGATCCCACTGTGCTCACTTGGAGAAGCTCTTGGAATAACTGCTGGAGCCATGATACCTGATGGGCACAAAGACAGATGTGCATGTCCATATTCCCTTAAGGCCCAGTGTCCTCAGACAAATTACCAAACAACGTTAGTCAGAAGCTGCTGACTTCCAATTACATATTACATAATGCAATCTAAAAGTAATCTGCATTCAGAACAAGAGTAGGCGAGGTTTCTGCTTTCTAGTACATCACAAGTAAACTCAAAATTTACCAAGACAATAGCTGTTTTAAAAGCTAATTTAAGTTTATTCTAAGTTCTTTGAATAGTGAATTATCAATCCAAAAATCGTAATACGAAAACTGTTTACAATACAATAGCTTTTCAACATAAAAACTTCAGCAATGTAATATGTATAGGTAAAAGAACATAGGACATAATGTAAACTGAACTGATTGATTAACATTATAACAGGAATGCTTCAATTGTAGATAATTTAACCTCATATTTAACTCTTGTTATATCTTTTCACTGACTTTCCCTCTGCACAACTGAAGTGAAATATTTTCTTTCAAATTACGAAAGTAATGGAACTAATTTTCCATCCTCTCCTTCTTTCTCTTCTCCCCTCTAATGGGCCCCCTGTTATGACTGCTTCCTAATCCAGGGATCATCTGACTCAGTTACAGAAAAGCAACTTTCTGTTTGCAAGACTACAGTGAAAA